CTCACGAGGGCTGTGGGGTGGGGGGTGGCCAACATGTGGCCTGCCTGCCTGTCTCCAGCATTTTCCAGGGATGCTGCCGGATGCTACTGCTGGCCCCGGTGTCTGAGGGTGCAGATCCGTGCTGGGGTGGGCTCTGGATCCCGAGACCTCCCAGGACCGAAGTGTGCCCCCAGGACAGCTGCTGGGCTCAGATAGACCATCCACGCTGCCTTTCTCCAACTCCCCACCCCCATCACCAGACACACCTGGAGCAGCCGCTGAGCTCAGATGGAGCAAATCACTTCCCACCTCTGAGGCTCCGTGTTCACATCTGTGAGATGGGTCCCATCGAGAGGATCCATTTCACAGGGTGGTCCTGGAGATAAAGGAAGGTGATGTAGACAAAGCACTCAGCCCCAGACCTGCCTGTGTGAGGGACTCAGGAAACAACCTTGGGTAGGGATGCACAAAAGAATCAGACATGGGTCCTGCCCACCACCGCTGCAGCCCGTGGCACAAGCCCAGAGGATGGCGCCTCACCCCAACGGGGCTTCCTAGAGCAGTGTGCGTCCCAGCTGTGTCCAGAGCCTGGCTAAGCTGTGGACACGAGGGGACGTGGACAGGCGTTCCACGTGGAGAGAAGGCCGGCGTCCACCAGGGCAGGTGGCAGGGAGCCAGCCTGCTCTGCGGAAATAGTGGTATGCACGGGAGGCGGCTGCCCCTGCCCACAGGTGGGCCAGTCGTCCGGCTGCAGCAAGCTCGGCTGCAGAAGTGGTGGGTGGGGACAGATGTGGTCAGGCCCCCAGGGCTTGAGGTCCTCTCAGAGGCCTGGGGGCCATCGATGGTGGCTGAGCAAGGCCCATGTGTTCAAGGGGCTTCTTTCTAAACCTAAGCACTCACTCGTTCTCGCCTTGGAGGATGTGCAGGCTGTGAATGGGGACTGGCAAGATGGCCCCAGGAGTGACTGTGGGAGGGGACTGTCTCCCCACACTGTGCCTGGCCACACTGTGACCTGGGGCAGGTTACGAAGCCCTCTGACCCAGCGTCCAGGTCTGTAAAATGGGGCGATGGTCCCCTCACCCCCCGTGGGGCTGTCGTGAGAAGTAAATGAGATGTGTGTGCAGAGTGTGGGCACATGGGAGCCCCTCGATCCGGGACCTGACGTCATCCTCCTCGATTCTCCCCAAACTACGGCTCTCTCGCCCTTCACCACCCCTGTCTCCATGGCGAGACGAGAGTGTTTGGCCCATTAAAACCAAATAAAAAAGGAATTAGTGGGAGTGGTGGCCCGGTGAGTAACTGATGAGTAACCGAGAGTCTGAGCTGGGTATGGGCATAACCCGGGGTGGGCAGGGACCTGCAGACAGGATGGAGGGGAGGTTGTCGTGAAATGCCCTCCAAACGCACAGGCCCAGCCTTAGTGCCTGCTTGGGGGCTTTGGGATGGCAGGACGTGGGAGCCCCGCATCTGGCTTCCGTTGGGGAGGACGGGCACTCGTGAGGAGGAGGGTATGGGCGGCGGATTCCGGGGCCTCCGAGGGAACGCCCACATCATCCTTGCTCAGCAGGGCTTGGTTGTGGGATTTTAACTCCATCTGGCCGGCCTCTTGGGGCGATTGCCCAATCGTTTGAGATTTCTAACCCCTCACTGGGTGCCTAGCTGGTGACATGCCCACTCTGCCTCCCCAGAGCTCCCACCTGGTGTTCACCTGCTGGCTAGATCTCTCCACTGCTCCCCCAGGTCCACAGAGGGTCCAAATGCAGCATCTCCTCCCCAAGGGGGCTGCGTGTGCCTCTTCTCCTGTCTCCTCCTGCCCAAGGTCACTTAGCTGCAAAGGGGCCAAGCGGGGGGCAGGATGGTCTCCCATGACCCATGCCCCAGGCCCTGAGTCCCTCTCTCTGCCTGTCTGGGCTTTGATTCCACTGCCTGGGTTCACATCCTGCTTCAGCCACTAACACCTCATTTCATAACCTCTCTGTGCCTCAGTCTCCTCATCTGTAAGATGGGAATAAAAATGAGATCTGCCTCGTATGACTGTCATGACAGTTCACTGAGAACATGTGTACAGGGTTAGAGAAGGGCTGGTCCACCGTGATAACAGTGCGGTAAGCACAGCTCCGCTCACCTGCTATCTAATAGTTCCCCATCCCTCGTGTAGTCAGAGTGAGTGAGCGCTAAAATCCAAATCCCATGTGTCTGGCCCCAGCACCTGCTTCTTGGGAGGTCTCTGGCCTCCCAGGATCTGGCCCTCTGGGACCTCCGCTGCCTCTTTTCTCCTTACTCTTGACCTGGTGCTTCCAGCAACACCAAACTGTTTCACCTCTGCACCTTTGCTCTGTGGTGGCCGGATGTGTGCATCCACCACACACACACACACACACACACACACACACACACACACATGCACACACCCACATCCCACACCACACACACTATACATACACACCCTGTACACACACTATACACATACACACTCAGACACCACACACTCAGTCACACACATCACATGTACACACTCACAGAGAGTTAACTCATACTTCTTGTTAAGACTTACTTTAAGAGGTCATCTCCTCCAGGAAGCCTTCCTTGACTCCACCTCCCAAGAGGCAGGTCAGGGCATCCTTTGAGGCTCTGTGACTCCCTGTGCCCCTTCTTGCAGAGCTCTATGGTCACCTCCTTTCCTGGGATCCCCCACCTAGTTTACTGGTCCCTCTCCCGTGCACGTGTGCCTCTCTGTGTGTGTGTGTGCGTGTGTGTGTGAGCTTGTCAGCAGGCCCTGCTGGGCTTGGGCAACACCACCACCAACAGTAAGGAGTTCAATAATCCACTTCCCCCTCGATGGACTTCTCTTCAGATGGTCTTGACCTAATTTAGAGCCAGGAGGTCAATTCCCAGGTTCTCCCTGCCCCTGTCCCTGTCCCTCTGTCTGTCTAGGAGTCCCTGGCCAGACCGGGGCTCCTCTGAGCTCCTCAAAGAGCGACTTCTTATGGAGCAGTCCCAGGGAGCTGTGTCCCATGTGGTCAGCAGGCCCCCAGGTGGCCGTGCACTGACCCAGGGTGGGGGGAGTTTGGGCGGGAAGGACCTGCAGGGGAGGAGAGGCTGGCCCCCCGTGCACAGCAAGGCCCTGGGAAGGCAGTGGCAGCTCTGCACCCTTTGCAGACCCCAATCTTTCTGGGGAGGAAGGGACGCCCATGCCGCCCTGCCCACAGCTCTTCTCAGAGGAAGGAAGTGTTCAGGATGCCGTGGCCCCCTCCATGACGGCAGAGCGCAGCCAAAGCCTCCTCTGTCCTGGGCCCCTGAGACCAGCTGGTCCCACCCTGATCCTCGCCCCGGATGGGAGAAACCCCAGGAATAGGGATCCCACGTAAGTGAGCCCGCCAGGAAATAGGGGCCCCACTGAGGGTGAGCCCTGCAGGGGAACAGGGACTCCATCTAGATGAGCCCCTCCCAGCTGGTTGTTGGGTGAGGAGGTGGACCCCAGAACACACAGTCAGCGCCCAGCACAAGGCTGGGCATGCAGTTGGTGCTCAATGGATGTTTGTGGAACAGACTTGACTTGACTGTCAATCCTCTCTCAATCTGAGGGGATCACCCCAGCCCCCGGCAAGAGCAGCCAGGCACACGGAGGGCACGTTGGCCCTCGCGGGGTGCAGGTGTGGGGATTGTGCAAGGACAGGGTCGTGGGTTTCCAGCTGCCCCTCTTGGGACTGAAGGCTGGGCCACGCCCCACTGTTGCTGAGATGGGCAGTCAGATTCCCGGATGGCAGCCCCGAGCTGTGTGTCCGTAGTGCCAGGTGCTGGGGACCACACGGACCCAGCCGTGGCCCGAAGAGAGCCTCTGTGCTTGTAGGCAAGGTGCGAGGGGCTCGAGAGACTGGGGCCAGGATGGCAGGATGTGCAGGGCCCGGCCAGGGGCTATGGACAATAAAGAAGAATTAGAGCTGGACCCATCCATCTAAGGGCCTTTGGACCCGTGAGGAGCCAAGAAGTCCCAGTGGAGGGCTAACTAGGTGGCCAGTGTCAGGAGCAACGAGAGGGTCGGATCTGCCACTGAGGGAGGTCGGCCAGCCAGGTTCCCTTCTGGCTGGTGGTCTGGGAAGGCTGCCTGGAGGAGGGGGCATCGGAATCAACGTTGGAAGGTTGTTAGGATTTGGGCATAAAAGGGAAGGGAATTCCACCAAAAAGACCAGGACTCCCCAGGGGCATGTGAGCAGCACTGGAAGGAGTGTTGTTTTGGGTGGAGGATGGGGAGAGAGGGCTGGGGAGGCCGGCCAGGCAGGGACTGTGGGCAAGGACTTCAGGCTTGGACTGTGGGCCTTCCCTCCCCAGCTCAGGCAGAGAGGAACCAGCGAAGGTGCCAGGGGGATGAGCCCAGGACTGTGATTTGGGTCACCCAGATGGTGGCTGGGGAGTGAGGGAGGCAGGGAGGACTGGCGCCCAAGCCTGGGCAAGTCAGGGGCCCCTGAGCCAGGCAGGGGTGTTGGAGGAGAGGGCAGGCTCAGGGGGCCAGGGACTGGTGATGGGTGATGGGTGGTCAGAGAGGGGGAGGTGGCAGCGAGGAGCCTGGGGGAGGGGGAGGGTTGGCTCTGGGCTGCGTGGATTCTGGTTCCTGGCTGTTGGGGTGGGGTGCCCCACGGGGCTCCGCACAAGCGGCTGGTGCACGAGGAGCGGGGCTGAGAGCTGGCAGAGGGCAGAGGTCAGAGGCATGGACCCCACACGCCCCTCCCAGGGTTGGGGAAACTGGGCCCCTCCAGCCCAGGCTCTTGGGACCGAGAGAGAGGTGTCTTACACGCTGGTGGCAGAGCTGTGGCACGCATTGAGTGCTCACTATATACCAGGCACTGTCCTCACCGCAGCCCTGCAAGGTGGGTTCCATCAGCCTCACTTTGCTGAGTCAGAAGCTCAGAGAGGGCAAGTGCTGAGCCCAGGGTCACACAGCCGGCCAGCAGCAGGACCCAGGCCCGGCACTGGGTCCCCGAGCCCTGCAGGGCCTCACCGTCCACACTGTCCCCTCCCCGCAGGGAGCCGTGAGGCCGCCTTCACGTATGCCATCACCGCGGCCGGCGTGGCCCACGCCGTCACCGCCGCCTGCAGCCAGGGCAACCTGAGCAACTGCGGGTGCGACCGCGAGAAGCAGGGCTACTACAACCAGGCCGAGGGCTGGAAGTGGGGTGGCTGCTCCGCCGACGTGCGCTACGGCATCGACTTCTCCCGGCGCTTCGTGGACGCCCGGGAGATCAAGAAGAACGCGCGGCGCCTCATGAACCTGCACAACAACGAGGCCGGCAGGAAGGTAGGGCGGGCGCCGGGCGGCGCGGGCCGGTGGCCCCTGTGGCCTCGGGGTCACGACCTCCCTGAACTCGGGCGCCTCTCCTAGCCGAGGGAGTTGGTGACCTGAACCCCTAAGGTGTGGGGTGGGTGGTGCTCGGCACGGCCGTCACCTCGGACCCTCCCAGCAGCTCTGAGAGGCGGCCTCACTGTTCCCATTCCCGAGGGGGACAAACTGAGGCTGGAGGGAGGAAGGGATGCCCGGGCCCCCAGCTAGTGGGTGGCAGGGGTAAGACAGGGACCTTGTTTCCACGCAGGGTGGGAGCGGGGCCTGGCTGGGGATCCCGGGCCGCAGTCCCTTATCCCTGCCCTGGTCCCAGAGGGGTCGTGCCAGCACACTGGGAAAGGCTTTCTGGAGGAGGCAGCCTTTGGCTCGATTGTCATGGGAGACTCGAGGGAGGGATGTTCCCAGGAGGCGGGAGCAGCCAGCTTCACGCATGGGGTGGGATGCAGTGTGGTGGGTGATAATGGAGGACATTCAGGCCGGGACACACTGGGGAAGAAGTCAAGACGAGCCGGGTCCCGCCTGCAGGGAGATGAGGGCCCCAGATACTGGGCTGGGAGGAACGGCCTCCATGGCGGCAAGATGGCCCGAGATAGGGCAGCCAGCCGAGTGGAACGCCTCTCCGGGTCTGGCTCCCCAGCCCTGGCGGCTGCACCCAGGGCGCCAGGGCCTGAGGAGCTCTGCATGCATGGGACAGGCTTGCCTTTACAGGCAAAGAGGGGTTGAAATTGCCCTCTGTCCCAGGGACCATGGCTGAGGCCACCAGTCACTCACTTATTCGCTCAACAAACACTCCCTTGCCCCTGCTCTGTGTCAGGGGCTAGGCTGGGCATGGGGGACGGAGATGAGTAAGACGGGCCCCTGGCTGCGGGAGCTCCCACAGCACTGTGTGGGTCCATGTGATGGGTGTGGGGGCCATGCCCAGGGGCAGCAAGAGCCCCGGGACCCGTAGGACAGAGCAGAAGCTTCCTAGAGGCAGTGATGTCCAAGCAGAGCCTCGAAGGACGTGCGAGAGCTGAGACGAGCAGAGGTAGAAGGAGCTGGCACTTGGCGGGAGGGCTGCAAACGGTTCAGGCTGGTGGGGGGGACGGGGCTCGGGAAGTAAGCAAGGGCCAGCCCAGAACAGACCTTGAACTCCAGGCCAAGAGTTTGACTTTTCCTCGTAGCTGTGGAGGGTGCCGTGCAGTAGGCAGTTATGAAATTACTGTCAAAGAAATGAATGAATGATTGGACAGATGAACGAATGAATGAAGGAATGAGTGACACAGTCTCTGCTCCAAGGAGATCACAGACAGCACATAGGCACCATTCTCTAGCCACAGGCAGATCGCCATCTGGGCCTCAGGAGGGCAGAGGAAGACGCTGTTCACTTTCCTGGAGGCATTGGAGGGCTTCCTGGAGGAGGAGGCACGACTGAGCCCTCAATGGAATCACCGCCCCTGGAACCTCTGCAGTAGCTTAGGTCCCCAGCAGGCGCTTTCCCACAGCCTTGGGAGGAAGGGCTCACGTTCCCCGTGTTACACATGAGGACAGTGGGCCCAAGGTAACCAGCAGAGCCACTGGTGGCCCTGAGGCCTGAGCTCCGGTCACTGCTCCGTGGGGATGCATCTGAGTCAGCTGCAGAGATGTGGGGAAGGGTGATGGGCAGAGGGACCAGCACAGGTAGAGGTATGGCAGTGGGTCAGGTCACAAGGGCAGTGCAGCACCATGGCCCGGCTCAGCCCAGTGGGTTGGAGGGGCCTCGCGGGGAAGGGCCCTGACAGCCGGGCTGGACTTTGGCCTCTGGGCCACAGGTGCCGCTGCAGGTCCCTGAGACAGAGTGACGCTAGCAGCTCGAGGGCCGGGGTTGTGTCTGATTTGGCTCTGGGGTCCCCTGAGAACCCCGGACTGGCCTGGCGAGGGACTCAGCGGGGTGTTTGGCGACTGACAGGTGGTAAAAGGCATAAGAGAAATGGAGGCAGGCCGGACTGGGCCCTGGGGGAGACAGGAGGTGGGAGGACAAGGAGGCTGGTGATGGGCCGGGCCCAGCGGGGGCGGCGAGGATGGAGGAGGGTCAGCGTGTCGGGGGTTTGAACTGGGGTGAAGCCGTGAACCGAGATGGGCACGGGGAGGAGAAGCGGGTTGTGGGGGAGAGCAGGTCATGGCGAGGGCCCGTCAGGGACAGGGCAGCCGTAGGAAAGGGCTGTGAAGTGGTCAGCAGCCAGGATTCTTGTGCCAGCACTGTCCCTGACTGTCGCTGAGGCCCTGGCCGACCCCGTCCCTCGTCTGAGCCTCAGTCTCCCCACCTGCACAGTGGTGTATGTACCTTGTCCCCTCCCCCCATGGCCCCGCCCGCAGCCCCCAACCCCATGGAGCTGTGGGGCGGGGTGTGGCTTTTGAGGCTTCCATAAGAACCAAGCCCAGGCCTTCACGGGTCACCCCAGTGCTGGGGCGCTCTGGCCCCCATCACAGGGCGTCCGGGCCTGTCCCCGCCCCCTCCCACTTCCTCAGGGCCACGGAGTTCAGCACGTCAGGGGGGAAGCAAGGTGATGGCTGACCAACAAAGTTCCACAGACTGGGGGCTTAGAGTGACAGAAATTTATTCTGAGTTCTGGAGCCAGAGTCCCAAACCAAGGTGTCCCAGGGGAGGATCCTTGCTGCCTCTTCCAGCTCCTGGTGGCTCCCAGCGTTCCTTGGCTTGTGGCCACGTCCTCTGGTCTCTGCTCGTCCATCACACGGCCTCCTGTGAGTCTCATAGAAACGTGGTCCTTGGATTCAGGGCCCACGCTGATCCAAGATGACCCCATCACGAGCCTTACCTTAATTACATCTGCAAAGACCTATTTCCAAATCAGGTCACATTCCGAGGTTCCGAGTGGATGTGGATTTGGGGGGACACTGTTCTGCCCACCACATTGGTGATTCACCCCAGGCTGGCATGTGGCCCACCGATGGGCCAGGCTCAGAGAGGCTGAGCTGAACCAGCTCACTGCCTGCTTCCACTAGAGCGAGGCCGTGGCCACCCTCCCCAGGCCCCTCCTGGGCTGTGTGGCTTTTAATGAGCAGCTACATGGTGCCCCTGCAGGAGCATCCCTTGTGGTCATGAAGGCGGGAGTGGCCGGTGCCCACCAGCTGCTCTGCCCCTGCTGTGTGGTCCCTGCTTCCTGGGGTGGGAATAGCAGGGCAGAGAGAGGCGATGCCTGAGTAGAGGAAGTGCAGTGTCTTCCCCTCCACACCGACCCGGTAAAGGCAGGAGCTTGTCCAGCTGGGAAGCCCTGGGGGCTGTTGTCAGGACGGCTCTGGGCCCCACTCATTGGTGACGTGAGGTCTGAAGCCATCGCTGACCAGGACCCCCAGCACTGGGAGCCGGGGGGCAGGAACGCTGTTAGCTGGGCACGGCCTTTACCTGACCTCATCTAGGGTCCAAGCCGGTCCTGGGGTGGGCGCCATGAAAACCTGGAGTCCAGGGAGGGGGCACTTATGCAAAGTCTCCAGCTGAGGGGCTGCTGGCCAGGCTGGGCCCCCGGGCTGGCAGGACCACGTTGCCGTGCTCTCGCCGTCACGGCCAGGCACGCTGATGAAATAGCTTCACTTGAGGACCACGTCCCTTTCACTCTGTGGGCTCGGGGTCAGAGGGGAAGCAGACGCGGATTGCGTCCCCCAGGGTCACGCATGCCCATGGAGAGGGCAGGCCACCATCGAGGGTCAGGAAACTCCACGGCAGAGTGAGGGTGCCGTGGAAGAGGCTGTGTGTGGCCCTCCCTCCGCGGCCCCAGGCTCAGAGCCGCCTGCCTGAGGCTGTTGCCCGAGTGTGTGCGAAGCGCCTTCCGCTGGCGCCAGGACGCCGTGACTCCCTCCAACCTGGCCGTGACCGACCTCTGTTCCTAGAGTGGGGGCCACACTGTTATTCCAGAAAGAACACCAGGGTGGCCGTTTCCTGGAGGCCCCCACCCCACCCTCACACTACCTGGCTCAGGGGGAAACGGAGACCTGGGGCAGGGGCCCTGCTCAGCCCCCAGCTCCTCTGAGCAGACCTGGGTCACTCTGCACCCTCCCAGGTGGTCTCCTGGGGCTGCAGGGACTGGTGCCACCGTCCCTGTCACTCTTATCACAAGGGCGCTGGAGACGGAAATGGCACGATCTTCCACGCTGTGATCGCTTCCCAGGAGAGGCTCAGGCCCCGGGGGACCCAGCCAAGCGAGGATACAGCCCCTCGCTCTGCCAGCAGCTGTCCCGTCGGCTTCATCTGCCGACGGTCACGGGCCTGGCTGCTCAGGGTCTGACCGTCCCTGGGCGGCGGGTGGAGACGGGGCTGCCTAGGGAGATGGGGACAGGGGGAGGGGTTCAGGGTGGACGGCAGAGCAGGTGGGGGCAGCCGTCCAGCAGGCAGTTGAGCCTGGACCACCTGGCCTGCACAGCCTCTAGCCTGGACACCCCTGCCAGGTCTCTGGCCACTGTGGCCCGTCTGAGGAGGAATCCCCTGGGTCAGCAGCCTGGGGTGGGGTGAACTGATTCCTGGGCTGGGGCCTCTGGGAAGGGCGTCTGCCTGGTTAGCTTCTGGCCAGAGGGGCATACGTGGCAGGCAGTGTGGCCAGGGAGGGGAAGCTTCCAGGCCTTGAAGGGCAGGTTAGTGGAGGGAGAAGCTTTTGGGGGAGGGGAGGGTCCAAGCAAAGAGAACTTGGGGTGGGGGTGAGGGAGGGGTGGGGGAGGTCTGAGTGGGGTGGACAGGAGTGGGGAGAGGGGCAGGAGGCAGAGGAGGCCCAGATAAGCTTTCCCCTGGGTAGGGTCCCCCTTCACCCAGACCCCCAGACCAGACTTCTGGCCTGTGCCCTCCTCCCAGACACCCCACGGTCCAGTCCCCAGGCCCTGCAATTCCAGTTCTGAGCGTTCCCAAAACCTGGCCCCCTTTCTCTCCTCTGGATGCTGGGGCGCTGCCCCCCTCCTCTCCCCTCCTTCCCCGGTGGAGCAGCAGCTTCCCCCTCCCAGTCTCCGCCCCAGGAAGTCATCCACGCAGGAGCAGAGAACCCCACCCCGAGCTCCAGCCGCCAGCCTCAGGCCCACCCAGCACCACGACTGCTCTTCTGGGCTGAATCTTCCCTTTGTGGTGGTGTGCCGGCTCTCCAGACCTCGCTCCTGCTGCGCCCCTCCTGGGACAGCCCACCTCTGTGCCTAATGAGCTCCTCCTCCTCCATCAACACCCAATGCAGGCACCCCCTCCCCCCGGAAACCCTCCATGCCCAGCACCCTCACTCCGGGGGGGGTCAGGCTCTCACGGCCCCTGCACATTGCCGTCTTGAGTGTCGGTTTCCTTCTGTTTCCCACACTGGGCTGTGGGCCCCGGACATCCTTGCTGAGGCCCAGGGTCCTGTGCAGCCGGGGTGGGGGAAATGGGGCTGTAGTTGGCCCTCTGGGTTGTTTCTTTGTCTTTGTCATCCATTCATTTGTTCATTCATGTGCTGTGGGTCTCCTCTTCTGGGCCAGGGCTGGGTTCTGACCCAGGGGGCGGAGCGAAGCCAAGTTCTTCACGGCTGGGCTGCTGAAGAGAGGGGAGTGAGGCCAGGGGGAGCCAGGACAGCTGACAAATGGCCGTCTGCAGCCGCGGGCGGCAGCTGACCATTCCCTGTCTTTAATCAGGGCGGCTGGCAGGGCCCTTCGATCCGGGTAAATGAGTACCTGGGTTCAGGGCTGGCTCTGGGAACCGGCCTTCCGGGGCCGGGGAGGGCGGCCCCAGGGAAACACACGGCTGCACCCATCGCGGGTCCGCGGGAGCTGGCGAGAACGAACAATGTGGGGCAGCTGTGGGGGCAGCTTCCCCGCAGATCGCACGGCTGGGCCCCGCTGACCCGTACACTCACCTCTCACTTGTCCCCCCACTCTGTCCTCCAGCAAGCGTGTACAGAGCGCCATGCCACGCCAGGCTTTCATTGAACAGCCATTTATTAAGCGCTGACTGCATGCCAGTCCCTACACCAGGCGTGAGGGCATGGTCGGGGAGACAGGGGTGGGGGGTCTGCACTTATTAAGCACCTACTGTTGCTGGGCCTGGCTGGGTGCAGGCACCTGCTGTGCTGTGACCTGCACAGTCCACGGTGCCCGGAGCCTCAGTTTCCTCATCAGTGCCTTTGACCCGAAGCTCCCTAAAGAGTTGTGAGAATTTAGGAAACATATTAGATAGACGTGCGTGGAGCTCTGCCAGGTTCTGCATATTCTCACGGGGCCCTCACGAGGCCCTGTGCAGTAGGGACCTGCGTCAACAGCCCCTTTTAACAGATGAGGAGACTGAGGCTCAGAGAGGGGGAGACACTTACGTGCGGTCACACAGCAGGAAGTGGGGGAGCAGACTCCAGGTCAGGCTGGAGGTAAGGGGGGCCGGGACGGCGCCCAGGCCCAGGCCACACTCACACCGAGCCCCCGCTGTGTCCCCGCAGGTCCTGGAGGAGCGCATGAAGCTAGAGTGCAAGTGTCACGGCGTGTCGGGCTCGTGCACCACCAAGACGTGCTGGACCACGCTGCCCAAGTTCCGCGAGGTGGGCCACCTGCTCAAGGAGAAGTACAACGCGGCGGTGCAGGTGGAGGTGGTGCGGGCCAGCCGGCTGCGGCAGCCCACCTTCCTCCGCATCAAGCAGCTGCGCAGCTACCGGAAGCCCATGGAGACGGACCTGGTGTACATCGAGAAGTCGCCCAACTACTGCGAGGAGGACGCGGCCACGGGCAGCGTGGGCACGCAGGGCCGCCTGTGCAACCGCACCTCGCCCGGCGCCGATGGCTGCGACACCATGTGCTGTGGCCGCGGCTACAACACCCACCAGTACACCAAGGTCTGGCAGTGCAACTGCAAGTTCCACTGGTGCTGCTTCGTCAAGTGCAACACATGCAGCGAGCGCACCGAGGTCTTCACCTGCAAGTGAGCGGCGGCCACGGCCACGCGGCAGCCACGCGGCCGCAGCCCCCGCCGCGGCATTTTGCACATCCTCTCCTTCCTTGCCGCCCCTGTGCAGCCTGGGGCCGCGGGCAGAGGCTGCGGAGGAGGTGGGGGCTCCAGGCGCAGGAGGGCTCACTGGGGACGTCACCGTCTCCTGCCACTCCCGTCACTTCCCTTGGCAAAACAGTGCCCACGACCCAGCTGAGAGGGCAAGGCCAACAGCGCTGGTGTCCCTGATGGGGCCCAGGGGATTCCTTTTCTTTTCTCCGGGAAAGTGAACCTCAAGGACACACGTATCCTGGAAAGCTAAGTGACAACAAGACTCAGAGTGTCGCCCTCCCCCGCCTGGTGGCCCAGACACAGAAATGCCACGCCACCAGCCTCACGCAAGACTGTTGCCCAGGCCGCGTCAGCCACTGGGCCCCGGGGAGGTCAGGGCAGATGTTGACAAAAATTATTTATGGTTTCTTAGTATCAGAAGAGGATTCTTAGCACTAAGGCATAGCGGGTCCTAACTCCGTACCTGTGTTCGTGCATCCCCTTGCCGCCCTCTGCTTCCTCTCCCTGCCCCTGGGGACCGAGGGAGCATCCCTGTGCATCCTGGCCCTGCCCCAGGGGGAGGTGGCGGTGTGTATGGTCCCAGGTGAGCTGGCCACGGACAGGGACCTCCAGCCCCTCTCCCCTTCTTTTAGGAAATCATATAAACAAATCAAAATGTCACCAGTGTCAGGTTCCAGGAATGCCACATCCTCTCCCTGATGCTGTCCCCTCCCAGCCGCCCGCCAGCCTGGCACCCCCCAGTTTACAAAGCCCCTCCCACCCTGGAACCAGCCAGCCCCCCAGGACAGCGCTGTGCCGGGGGTGGGGAGGTCAGAGGTGTTTGCCCCATTTGACCGATGGGGACACTGAGCCCAGAGTGGCTCGAGGACTGGCCAGAGACCCTGGAGGCTCCCGCTTTGCTTGGGCATCCTGACTCCCAGCCTAGGGCCCCTAACCCTGGAGGACGTGCTCTGGGGACGCCTAGGGTGGTGTGAGGTGGCCCCCATGCCTTGGAAATCTGGCTGCGTCCCTGCCCCTGCTGCCAGCCTCCCTGGGGTCTGCATCTCCCCAGCGCCCTGCGAGGCGCCTTCCAGGGTTTCTCTGGCCGTCTCCTTGCCCAGTCCTGGTCCTTTCGCCCTCTCTCTGATGCTGAGAAAACTCAGCTCCAGGGCGCCTCTCTGCCAGGGCCTCCACTGCAGTCCCAGCAGAGGCCTGCCCTCCAGACACCTCCCCCAGGGTCCCTACACCACACAGACCCTCCCTTGAAGTCTGACTCACCCCCAAACCCGGGAGACAGGACCAGGAAGGGATCCCGCTCAGTTCTAGACCATGTGCAGGGTGGGGAGAGCTCAGAAACCTAGGACTTGGGGCTGGACAGGTCTACAGATACTCCCGCCCCTCCCTGGCGGGACCGAGGCACAGAGGGAGTGACTGACAAGAGAGGGGATGGTGTGCAACCGGCTTCTGGTGCACCTTCCACTGCCCGAGTGCCCCCGCCCAAATTTACGGTATTTTCTCGTGGAAACTGGTGGAAATGTGTCCTCAGAGTGGGCTGGTCATTAGCCTGGAGTGAGTGACACCGTCTGGGCCCTGGCCCTGGCGTCCACCCCACGTGCCCCTGAGGATGCCAGGACACTCCATCAGCTGCTGTCCTGTGAGCTTCCAGGCCACCCCCCGGCCCCAGCCCCCTCCCTCCCGGGTCCCAGGACGCCCCCAAGTCCACAGGCCCGGCGTCCTCTGCCAAGGAACCTGGTTAACTTATATTGTTATATAGCGTCGAAATGTCTATAGTGTCTTTTAAATTATTGTGACCTACACTGGGTACTGGAGGTGGGGGCATGGCCGCACGCTGTCCCCCGAGCCAGGCTCCTCCTTCTGCTTGAAACAGACTCTTGGGGCCCCTGACGCCACTGAGTCATGCGCACTGTCCCTCAGCCGCCAGGCACCCCAGTCGGGACACCGCCCTTCCTAACAGCCCGTCAGCAGCGGCCCTTCCCTTAGGTGGGGGGGGGCAGTGTGGCCCGGGCAGGGGCAGTGGCGGCCGAGGCTCTGCGTGTCCCTGCGGTGTCCCCACTTCAGGAGAGCCGGTGGGTTTCTGACGGGCTGTGTCGGCCTCCCCTGGAGGGGAGTGCCCGGCTCCAATAAAGCTGGAATCAGAGCAGTGAGTGTGTGTGGACGGCACGCGACGCCCTGCAGCTCTTCCCCTGGGGCGGGGACACATGCGCCATCCACCGAGGACTGGCCCCCTCGGCCCTCACACGCGTCCCCCTCCTGACTTCCTCGCCCCTCTCTGTGGGCTGGGCTGGAGTGGCACTGATGCCCCCTTCAGGCCCGCCCCACCCAGCAAGGGCCACTGGTAGGGGCTGGACACAGACCCAGAGGCCACCCTGGACAGCCTGGGCTCAGGCCATGGGCCTGGTGCCAGAGCTGACCCACGGGGCTGGGCGGGGGCTGCTCTCAGGAGAATGGGGACCCGCAGCCAGGAGGCCCTGGCCCCATCTGTCTTCCGCTGTGTCCCCCTTCCCTGCTGACCCCAGCTGGCCTCTGGGTTCCTGTGGGTCTGTCCAGCCGTGTCTGGAGGGTTTTGGCTCAAGGGCCCTCCCTGGGATACCCCTTGCCCTCTCCAGGCATGGGAAGACAGCCTGAGCCCCCTGGGAGCTCAGCAGCCCCTGGCTGGCCACTAGGCCTCGAAGCTTCCCCCAGAGGCCCGCCGCCCGGCCCCGGCACCCGCCTGCGGTGACCGTGCGCGAGCACGGGGGATGAATGGCATTCCTGCCGAAGGCCGGAAGGCATGTGGCGGGGCCGGTTTGGCCACTGCCCGCTGTCCCGGCATCCTGGCATCAGGCGGAACCACTGATCAAACAGCCCCCCTTGCGCCGTGCCCACCTGGGCACCCACGGAGCCTGGCTCCAGACCCAGATCCCAGTGGAGGGGCCACCAGGTGGACTCCCCGAGGGGGACGTGCCCTCCAGGGTGTGGAGAGGGGAGACAGACGTGAAGGACCGTGGACTTGCAGTCCAAGTTCTGTCCCTTCCTGACACCCAGGCGCGGGCAGCCTCTGGGGCGGCTCTCCCCGATGCAGGGCCTCAGTTTCCCCAGCTGACAGCAGGAGGTGGCCCGGGCCAGGACTTGGTGGTCAGCAGGGCCCTTGGGGTCCGGGCCTGGGCCAAGTGGTTTGGCAGGAGGCCCTGGTTCCCCACGAGACGGTAAGCAAATCTGCGGTGGTGGCTGTGTCGGAACGCCGGGGTCTGGCTACTCCCACAGGGCCAGGAATGAGGAAAGAGCTCGGAGAATGCCACGGCCCCGGTGCCCAGACTGTACTTAGTTCTTGGCCACGGTTCAACCCAGCCCCGGCCTCCCAGGGCCGCCCGGCACATCCTCCCAGGGGCCCTGCCTGAGGCGTCGAGCCCACATGCCCAGCTGGCTTGGGGGCCCACCTGATCCCCAGCCCCAGGCTCCATCTCTGAGGCTGATATCTCAGGAGCATTTCCCCAGGCAGGCCCACGCCCCCCCACGGTGACTCCTCACCCCTAGAATGACGCCCCCTGCGCCCCTTCAGCTCTGGCCTGCTCTGCGCTTAGCTGGCTCCTGGGCATGCCGGGTGCCTCCCTGCCTCCCTGCACTTGCCAGGATGTTCCTTCTCCAGGCTCCCCTTCCACTGTGCTGGAGAGAGAACACAGAACCACCAAGGCAGGAGTGAGTCCCGCGGGCTGTGCTGGGTAGGATTGGGGGACACTGGCAGGGAGAGCCAGGGGCTCGGGGAGCGTTCATCTACTGCCCACTCGTTCGTTCATTCACCTGCTTGTTGGTTTGTTCAGCCCTGCGGGAGGCCAGGCCCTGGCTGGGCCCTGGGTTCGGGGTGGCTCATACCTGGCCCTGACCTCCGGGGATTCCGGCTCCTCACCCCACTCTCCTGCCCAAGTGGCAGCCCATTCTGGAGGTGCCTGGGAGACAGGACAGGGCTTGGAGTGGCTCTTCCACACCTCGGAGCCTCAGCTTCCCGCTCCGTAGAATGGGTGTCGAGGAGCAAGCTATGTCCAGCCGGGCCGGGCTCTCTCTTTCTCTGTCTGGAGGACGCCCCTGCCCACCTGTGCTCCTGGCTGCCCTTTAGCATTGGGTCTCCCACACTGCCCCTCGAGGGGCTGCCCATGCTGTCCACTCAGCTGCTGGCTGGTGGCCGGAGCTCACAGGGGGCCTGTGGCCCTGGTGGGCAGAGGCTCGCTCCTTGGTGTGGCCTTTGGAGGCCTTCCTGACCCTCTGCCTCATCTTCTACAGCCCACCTCTACCCTGCCCCCTCGCAAAGCCCCCTGCCCTGCTGGTAAGCCACCCTCCCCAGAGCTGCTCATCGTGCCCACCACCCACTGGCCCAGCCTTTGCTCCAGCCGCGGCTTCTGCCTGCGATGCCCTTTCACCTACCATCCCCTGCCCACACCCCTCCTTCCCGTAAGGCCCACCTTTCCCAGCTCGCTTGCCAGGGCTCCTGCCCTCTCCCTCACCCTCTGTCCCTGCTCTCACTCTGATGGGTAGGGATCTCATTGTCGTGACTGCCCCTGTCCCCCAAGCAGGTTGAGGGTCCTTGGAAGTAAGCAGGTCCATGGAATACAGAACACGCCCCCATGCCAGTCACTGGGTCTGGTCTGCAGGAACCAACAACCTTCACAACCCCCCTTCCCCAAATAGGTCAGCGCTAGCTCCATTTTATAGATGGGAAACTGAGGCACAGAGAATAAAGGGGTCTGTCCAAGGTCACACAGCCGGTGAGAGGCAGAACCAGGATTGGAACTCAGGTCCTTTGGGGTCTTCCTTCTACCCAACTCATGTGCCTCCTCCCACGAGGGGAAACTGAGGCCCCGGGACCTTGTCCTAGGCTGCACAGAGCTGAGGGGGAAGGGAATGGCTAAGGCAAGTCTCAGAGGAGATGACAGCAACACTCTCTTCAGCCAGGACAGAACAGGAAACACCCGGTTAAAAAGCAGCAGGCAGGATCTAGGTTAGACATCTGGGTGAACTTCATAATTCCTGGAGCTGGGGGGTGGGGAGAGGGTCGGGTGGGTGGGGGTGGAGAGAAGGGAGGAGAGGGAGGTGACCTGGGCAGGGAAGGCATGGGGTGGGCCGGGCTGTGTTCTGGAGGGCCGAGGGGCCGAGGGGCCGGGAGGAGGAGGAGAGGTGAGCGGATGCTGGAGCTCCTCAGGCTCAGGCGAGCAGGGAAAGTGTGCACTCCCTGAGCAGAGCAGCCAGTGCCGCTCCGGGAGGGCTGAGCTGCAGCAGGGCCGCCAGGAGCCATGAAGTTCAGCTGGATGTCAGCCTGGATCTCGCCTGCTGCCGTCCTGGCCTATTTCCCACCTCTGGGACTGAGCCTGCGCCCACCTTTCTTCTCTGGGATGTCACCTGCCTGATCATCAGGTCATTGGTCTTGCAGGACATGGGGACTCAGAGCTGCCTGGCCTGGGGGTCTCAGGACCCTTGGGAATGAAGACTTGTGAATCTTGGCAGGCCCAGGGAGTTGCAGGCCTGGCGCCCACAGCAGTGCCCAGCAGAGGCTGGGGGTAGTCAGCCAAATGCCCTGGTGAGGGGGGCCCAGGGCCGAGAGCCCACCTGCAGCCTTCCCTGGACGGACACTGCTCCCAGGGCCCCAGCGGTGAGTGGTACCTGGGCCAGAACTGCCTGGCCAGCTCCCCCGCCTGGCCTGTCCTCTTGTGGTCTGCGCCTCTGAGCATAGCCGGAATCCTGCAGCCACCTGGGACATCGTAGGATGAAGAGCCCGCACAGCCCTGCAAGGAAGCAGCCCAGATGGAGGCGACGCAGGCCGGGACCAGGAGTGCCCTTACTCCACCTGCAGGCAGAGGCCCGTGGCCGGCAGGGCAAGGCCGGGACACCCTCCAGGTGCTGGACACAGGTGTCCTTC